CTCAAATGGGTGTAGCTCAAATTTGAAGAACTAGGGTTACGCAGATTTCAGTCTTTTTCCATTTGCCAGGGTTCCGTTCCAGGCCCCGATTCTTGAGCCACACCCAAATCTTGCTGATTCTCCGCAGGCAATGAGGGAATAACCCCTATAAACAATCCATCCTATGGCTTTTCCCTTAAACCCGGAAACTCGGAAAGTCATTCCCTATCTAGAGCACCAGAATGGAATGGTGCAATCCCAAAACCAGCAAGGAATGGAAGGAGTGCAAAACTCAGATGCCCAGCGGCCGTGGGAAAAATACGGGCATCCTTTTTGGTTTGGTTGAGCTTAAAGGGGAACCCTTCCCCCGAAAAAAAAATGACAAGAGGGCGGAATCCACTGGGCAAGTGGGAAACCGTCCACCACTGCTTGTTTACCACTAAAATGGTCAAAAAAAACGAAAAGTTGGAAATCACGCTGCGACTGTTTTCTTGAGCCGTTGCCCTTTTTTTTCCGAGCGCCACCGAGAGGACGCGCTCGGAAGTTGCCCAAGATTCTGGCGAGCTGAGCATCGGCCCTGCTCAAGGCCTGGCGGATTCAGTAACCCGTCCAACGCAAAAAAAAGCTGCGCCCAGTTTGATAGCTGCTACATATATACCTGGAGTCTCAAAATGGGGTCATTGCCCAAAATTAAGGGGTCATGGACCCATATTTTTAAGGGTCATGGAGACTCTAGGTAAATAAATTATATATATATATATATGTGTAATAGATTCAGAATGACACGAATGATAATAATAATAATAATAAACATAGTAATAGTAAAAGTAATATGAGTGGAAATACACAACACGTAGCAACATAGTAGTGGCAATAATAATGATAGTAATAACAACAATCACAACAACACTACCAACAATAGTAACAACGATAATACTATTAGCCATACTCATAATTAATCGTAGTAATAATAACAATGATGATAAACGGTCACAATCATGATTGTAGCACGTTGTAGGATAGTGACACGTAATGCGCATCAATCCTCTGACGCAAAAATATAAGATACTGCAACCAGGGGCCTAAACAACAGGCCTCAAGAGAGCGTAAGCGCCCTTTGATTCCTTGAATTGTAAGCCTTTTTTGTTTTTCTCGGAAGAACAGCTCGTCCCACCACAGGTTTCCCCAGCTTCGACACGCCCTCGGTTCTGTTGGCCGAACCTAAAGCTATCCTGTCGCAACAGCTAGGGACACATTGCAGCATCCTTGGAACTATATTTAGTCTATTGCCGGTATTTCACGCATGAGACAGCATGCGCCTCCGGCGTCGAAAACGTGAGCACACGCAAAACGCTCCAAATCCCAGTGGACCGACTCCCAGTGTCCCATGTCAAAGCCAAAGAGCTTCAGATGCTCTACGTCACCAGTGAAGTCTGAGGCCTCAAGGAGTTTTAGGGGGGTTCCTGAAAGAAACCTGTTAAGTCAGATTGGTCCAAAGTCTACTCAATAAACGGCTACATTTGGGTGAGGGAAATAGATTCACATATATATATATATACACACCCAGAATTGCCCTGACACATGGCAACAAAGACTAAAACCTGCGGTCCATATCCTGGTTGAATTTCGACCCATACCCATTTGGATCCTTCTTTTTCGGCCAAACGGTCCATGGGCTTCAGCCTTCCCTAGCGCCGTACTCAGAGCCCTCCCGCCTCCGTCAGAGCCAGCGCCAGGCTGAGGTGATGCGAGCCTGTGGCGTTCTGGGCCTGGCAGATAGAGGGAATGGCTCGTTGAAATGGGGCTGATCCTTGGATGCTGATTCAACTAGTGGGGATTGACTGGGAGTCCCTAGAAAACAGGCGTCTCTCAACATTTGAGTTGGTCCGTTTCAACTAACATGGCATGTGTCTGGCTACCTATACTAGGCCCTCCAGATTTGAGAGGTTAGAATTCTTGGGTACCCACTTTTCTTGCTGTAGTCTGTTTCAGGGGAACTCCCCTAAAAAAGGGTGAGAAAGGGCACTGTAGCTCAGCTCAACATTAAAGCGCCAGGGTTAGGCCAATGGATTTGGCACACCATGGAACTTAAAAAGCCAGTCGGGGGAGGGGGGGAGGGGGGGCAGGGAGGGGGAGGGAGGGGGAGGGGGGGAGGGGGAGGGGGGAGGGGGGAGGGGGAGGGGGGGGCAGGGGGGAAGGGGGGGTTGAGGGTTAGGCCAAAAGGTGATCACCAAAAGGATTTGGAACACCAAACTTAAAAGCCAGAGACAGCACCATCGGTTGGCCCTTTTGGGTCACGCAGGCTTTAGTCTTTGGTTCCATTTACCAAGGTGCCATTTTGGTACATCTTTGTGAGCCACAGCCAAACGGGGCTGACTCATGAGACATTGCAACACAGTCAATCACATGTTTGCCCCTTCCCCACTTGCAAGATGGCTTTGTCTCCGAGCAGGGCTACCCCCGAAAGGCGTGTTTTCCTTTGGCGTGCCGTTTAACCAACCCCTAAAGCAGGCAGCCGGACTGGAGTTGTAGAGGTTTCAGGTGACTAGATACGGAACCTCACGCCCAGGATGGGGGGCCAAAACGTTTGCGAGTGAAACTGCACGAGGGGAAACTGTGTCACCACCTTGACGACCAGTTTGACGCAACTTGAGTAGTCCCCACATGTTCAGGGTGCGAGCACATTTAGGAATGTACTTGGATTGTCCTGGACTGAGCTAACTGGATAGAAACCATGACAATAAACCATTTACCGTGGTAAGGGGTTACCACTTAGCTAACTCCCAGACGGGTCACCGGACTTCTCCCTGAAAAGTTGACGAATTCACTGGCGGGTTTCCACCAGAAACCGCCACTTTTGGAGCTCCACGACAGGGAAATGCTGCAGCTCTTCTGAATACAGACCAAGCAAATAGAAGTGAACTTGGGTTGTTGGACCAATTGCGCCAGAAATCCGTGACAATTGATCCTAAGGGAGGAATCTTCCCGAACGACGGCTTGTCGCCCGCGCCTGCACGTAGGCCCCCCGCTGCTGCAGGAGCTGCAGCGACTGCGCGAGGGCGAGGATTTTGGTCCCACGTATTTGATTCCAGGCGTGCGTCAAAAAGTAGCTACACATACTGTGGACGGTTGCGGAATCCATTTCGCACCATCGTTCAGAAACCCTGGTGTCTGCTTCGATTCCCCTGCAAATACCAAACAAACAATAGTTTCAACCGTGGTTTCAAAGTGGTGCGGGATTTGTCCATCCGCACTATGCTCAAGGAACATTAGGCATAACCTATTTTCAGGCAGAGTCTCCGAAAGCGCTCGAAAAAGACATTTTACTAAGGGAGAAATCCGGAAACTCTCACAATCTAGAAACTCGCTGTGCTACCACTTGCACGTTCTCCAATGGTCAACAAGTCACGGAAGTTCATTTACCATAAGCGGGTACAAGCATGAGCAGCAACACCAACAGCAGCACTAGAACCCGCGGCGGAAGCCCCCTTGCATGCTCCCCCGGCGCAGCCCTTGCCATTTGGCTGTGGGTCAAAAATAGATACCCAAAATGGGTTGCCCTCGTAAGAGGAAGCATGGACTAAAATCTGCGGTCCAATTCCTGGTGGTTTAGTTTTGACCCACACCCATTTTGTTTTCCTGCTCAAACCGCCGCGCGTCGCCACATCCACCATATCCGCCATTCGCCAGCCCGACATAGATCCGCCTGCGCAGGATCAGAGGTCTTCGGTTCAAAGATCTGAATTTGCACCAGTGAGCACAAAAAGCCAATATGTTTATCAAGGCCCCTAGTGAAACCAGCAAAGGGTTTTGTTTCGGCTGCCAAAGGAAAAACACACTGATCCGGCTTTGCTCCCAACCAAACATAGGATTCTTGATTCTGGTCCACAGTTAGTGAGCCTTGGAACTGCTTGTAAGTGTAAGATATTGTCAACACCGTGAAATCGGCCACAAAACTAAAAACATGCTCTCACCTTGAGGTTTCATGGAGTCCGGGCAGAAAGGACTCCAAAAGCCTTTGGCCAAAGCAATGCAGCAAGGAAACCCAGGACAGGTCCAAGGAATGTGAATTCCTTACCTTTGAAAGCCACAAACATGGGGCGTCCAATCATTTATCCCTTGGGTTCTGCGAAGGTTGAAGATTCCGTGAAACGCTTGCTGAAGGTCCAATTGAAATGTCATCCATGATAGTCAAAATGCCGGAACAAAGCATCGGGTGCTGGGTGTTGTTCAACTCATGCTCAAGGGACCGCATGGTCGCTTCACTTCTGGCAGTTTGACAACGACAATGTGTATGTCGTATGCTTAGTTGGCAAGATTCAGCAGTAGACTGGAGTAAATGTGTAACATTCCGTAATTATTGGGGCACCGATGCCAAACATCTGCAGGAATACAAAAGAACACCTATGAATACAACAGAACGCTCAGCCTGGGCACCGACCGTTGGCAGAGCGACCCGGTGTCGTGGCATGCACCCCAAAGAGTGTTTGGCATGACTCGGCCTCATGGGCCCTGGAATCACGTCGGAATTCGCCAAGCTGACTTCAGTTTGCCCAAAATTCAGACCACCATTTCTTATTCCCCATCAAATGTTTAAGACATATTCCCCACCCTGGTCAAAACACGCGGTGTTCTTCACAGACCAATCGACCGCAGTTTGGCTCCACCTTTTGGGGCCACCGAAAATAGGAACCCAAAAGAGGGAAGACCAAAAGGTCAGGTCACATAGGATCGAAAATCGATTGGCATCGGATTTGATTTGCACCCTGCGAACCTTCACGAGAAAAGCTGAACGATTTAAGGACATCTCCACCTCGAATGTGGCTACCCTTACCTTGCCAAAATGTGGGACCCTTGCAAATGCGGAAGGCTTCCTTTAGGTTTCCCCTTCAAACCAAATCGAAAAAGAGGCTTGCTCATTTCCCCCCCAACACATAAACAAAAAACAACACAAAACAAAAAGACAAGTAGTGGGTACAGTACTTTGGGAAGCCCGCCGGCTTGCGAAGAGCTCCTTGCCTCTAGCCGAAGAGGTCGAAATCCATCTCCTCCTCTTCCTCCTCTTCGACCACTGCCTGGCGCAAACTCCCAAGTCGGAGTTTGCAAGAGCGAGAACGGCAGACCTGAAGACAAAGCGCCCGAAAGGCCTCCGATCTCCATCGGAAGGGTTTGGATCTCAAAACATCAAAAAGGGCCTTTTTGAGGCTCCAAGATTCTGAGGCAGCAAAATAACTGGAAGCGCTGCGTTTCCATCGCAATGTCTGTCACTATTTAATGCTTTCAAACAAGAGTAGCTTCAACCTAGCATCGAAAATTGGCTATGATTTTTTTAGGGGTCTGCAACGCGAGACGCGCCACGAATCTTGTTACGGAGGTCTGTAACGGAGGTCCTTGTTACGCAGGTCTGTAACGGGACAAACATTTCCCGACAAGAAGTATCAGTAGCACGATGTAGCGCAGCACAACGAGGTATGTCATGGCTATGTAACGAGGTCTGTAACGAGGCAAAGCAAAGCGCAGGACGCAAAGCGCGCCTCCGCAGCTCCAGCTTGATTGCAGCTACTCAACGCAAGCCAAGCTGCGGCAAAAAGCGGGGTCGCTGGCCCGGGCTGGGGGTTGGGTCTGCAACGAGGTGTGTAACGGCTATGTAACGAGGTCTGTAACGAGGCAAAGCAAAGCGCAGCACGCAAAGCACGCCTCCGCAGCTCTATTCAACGCAAGCCAAGCTGCGGCAAAAGGCGGGGTCGCTGGCCCGGGCTGGGGTTGGGTCTGTAACGAGGTATGTAACGGCTATGAAACGAGGTCTGTAAGAAGGCAAAGCAAAGCACTTGATTGCAGCTATTCAACGCAAGCCAAGCTGCGGCAAAAGGAGGGCAGTCACGTCACTGTCCCGGTTTGCTCATCTGAGGTGTGTAACGAGGGCGTGTAACGAGGGTGTGTAACGAGGGTGTGTAACGAGGGGTGTGTAACGAGCCAGCTGGTTTTGTTACAGAGGTCTGTAACGAATGTCCGCCGCGGCTCTGTTACAGACCCCTCAAAAAAAATCACTGCCAATCCACCACCATAAGAAACCAATTTAAGGACCGCGATGAGATCCCTTTCTCTGCCTGGGCTTGCTCAAATTAACTGGAAACCAACCAACGGAAGCCAAATGTGAAGCAAGAAAAAGAGAAAAGAAACAAAGGGAGACTGTACAGGAGATCCCAACAAAAACCAAGGCCCTTGATGTGGCCATGGGTCAAAAGCCCGTACGGCCCAGTGAACATCCCCACTAAAAAAGGTTCTAAAATGGGTGGTGCGCCGAAAACCCCCAAAATGGTACCATTGGTTTTGACCCACATGTGTCAAAAGGACAACAAATCAGACCGAAAGCGGCACAAGCCGACGACTTCGCCGCCTTCTTCTCCTCCTTCTTCGCCGCGCCGCCGCCACCGGCGGCCGGGGCCGCGGAAGAAGCCCCCGGGTTGGCGGCCGCGTAGGCGTCGGGGTCCGCGAAGAACTTCTTGGCCTCCTCGACCTGCGGTTCAGCCGAGTCCAACGCGCTTTCTGGGTGTCTCAAAAGGAATCCCTTCGGCTTTTTTGGGTGTCTCAAACGCACACCTTTTGGGTGTCTTGAAAGGGAACCCGGCTTTTCTGTGGCTTGTTTTTGTTTTTTTAATGAAGCAAGGGCAGCCGGTAGTTATGGAGGAAAAGAAGAAAAAACAACGCAACCCAAAAGAGCACCCTGATGCAGTCCTCCTTTTTGGGAAAGAGACCCTGAGGGTTTACTATAGCATCAACAACCTTCCCGTTTCGGTTGCCTACAATGTGTGACTTGCGTCTCTGCAAATTAGCCTGTTGCTTGGATTAGCGTGGCCGTGGGGTAAATGCCATGTGAATCTGCAGAGAGGTACTCCTGAAATGTGGAGGCTGGAAGCCAAACACACACACACACACACACGACAAGATTCGTCCACACGCAGGGTCCTTTTGAGTTTTATGTCGTTTTTCAGGAGAGTACGACTTGGAGATTGCAGAACGGTTGTGGTGACCAAAGAATTCAACCATCACCTCAAGTCTTCACTTTAAAGATCGGCCATGAAATTGATTTGCCCTTATCAAGCCAGCTCGGTGATTGGAAGCCGTGACCCGGGGGCAAAATCCCCCACAAGCGAAAACATACCTTGATGGACGAAATTCTGCACCACTTAAGAAACCCTCGAATGATGATTCCCTGCACATTCCAAAACCCAGGATTTGTGTACGGCCAACATGTGCTTTCTAATGACCATCACATATTGCCAACCGATTCTGACGCTCATATTTCGTCTAAAATATGTCCGATTCATTTTCCCAGGCCCAAACGCAATGGAAACACAAGTATCGGCGGGCCACCTCCTCCAAATAAAAGTCGAAAGGATTTGCACGGTGTCTAGGTATAGACCCGTCCTCAAAAAACAAACGAAATTGTTCAAATCGAAAAATCCCGCCAAAAGCCAATTCAGTTCAAATCAAAACCTGGTGTTAAAATGGTCGATCATTTAGCCATGGAAACCTTCAAAGGTGCCTGCACCCATTTATGGTTGGGACTATCCCTCAACCTTCTACCCGAGCTTTGAGCAAGTGGCACTTGATGCCCTGCAGCGTGCCCTGCAATTGAGTTTTGATAGCTCAGTTGTTTCAGGGACCCTCAAAAAAAGGAATGAACAAAACACACACACACACACACAACACCGAAAATGGTTTTCACACCCCATCCAAAGCTTCGGCCTCCTCGAAGGTAAAGTCGATGTCCGCCACCAGGGCCGCCACGTTCTTCAGGGCGTTGCCGAAGGCGTGGGGCAGGCCCGCCTCTGTGGGGATGCCCACCTGGCATCCGAAAAAAACGGACAGGGCTTAAAACACGGCGAAGGGAGGGGGAAACGGGGGCAACTCCCAAACCATGTGAAAGTTTGTCCTTTTTCCAAACCATTTGAAAGTGGGCTATGTTTGAAGATCTCCTTTTTGGGCTTGGCTTGGGAAACCAAAAGGCGTCCACCACCTATTTTGGCATGGGGCCAAAATAATCCCAAGGGACTCCTTGAAGCCGATTCCAACACCCTAGTTATTCCGATTCAATCCACAACAAATCTTGGGTGCTGTAGATCCCCCAGCAAAAAGTGTTTCACTTTTTGCTGGTTAAAAGGAAATATGAGGGGAATCCAAAAAGTTTTTCAGTCTAAAGATCCAACCCAATAGCAGTGGAGAAATCCTGTGGGAAATCACAATGACCATAAAGCATGTGCACGCGTGTAAACAAACTGGGTCCTGGCAGAACGTGCCAATGGCGCGCCAGCAACCAGTTGAAGGCATTGCCAGTTAGCCCGTTTATAAGGACTGAAGCAAATGGCATACCAGGAGCTGTGTCGCACTCTCAGCACGCCCGGGGGTCGGAGGCTTGAGTCCTCCTAGCTCTCATGTTCAATATGAATTCACAATGCATCTTTGCATCTCATCGATGTATTGCAGCTGATAACCGTCCAACGCCCTTGTCCATCTGTCCATCAGATTATTGTTTGGGTATGTTTGACCTGGCTGACCGCGCCTCCCGGCTAAAGGCAGCCATGTTGGCAATGCCCGCAAGGAACTTCTGGATAAGCATCTCCTGCACAGGGACCAGGCCAAGATGCCATATCTGTTGAACTTTGAATCTTCAGTGGAAAAGCAACCACTTTTGTGCAGGGAATCTCAGCGACAGCAATGGATGAGCTCGAAGAGCTCATCCCTTCGAAGGGGATTCCTCAGGCAAAATTGCCACCATGCCCAAAACTGATGAACAAAGGGCAACAGTAAGTGGGGTTGACACGTTTAGTGGGCAGTCAAGCAAAAAGGAAAACCTTTGGTGCATTTCATCAGGGCCAACCCCTTTTTCAACCCGTTCACACAACCTCGTGGTTTCCTTTTAAAGGAGGCCTGTGGTCTTGTTCAAACAAAGCATGCGATTCCCAGTGAACACTGGGTGATGGGCCCACAGCCCTTTCCATACTCAGAACTCGCGGTCGCATTCCTCCGACATGTCGAGGACCGCGGCACTGAAGACGGTCGAGTCCTGGAAGACGTACTTCACCTCGGAATGGCCATGGCCACGAATCGAGAAACCAGCTCCCTCCATTTGCTTAAGTCTCCTGAAAAAGGGATTGGGGCTGGGGTTGGGGTTGGGGTTGGGTTGGGTTGGGGTTCGGTGGGGTTGAGTTGCCCAATAATGATAGATTCCATTTAAATCAACGGGGGGAACTAACACATATTCGAAAGCACATGGAAGTCTGCAATTGGGCGACAACTCGACTTGCTTGCTGATCCCTGGTGAATTTCCTGTAGATGGTTTCTTAGATAAAATGGCAGCCAACAAACAAGAATGGATTTCGACGGGATCTTCATAGTAGACTGCTTGGACTTAATAATTCGGATCGCTATTGTAGAAAGGCGTTCTTCCACATGCTAAACAAATATTAAATCTAATACAGAGAATCTAAGATTAAGTGTTGGCAATACTACATTAAGTACCGGAAATCTAAGATGAAGTATTGGCAAGACTAAAACTAAGTATTGGTGGTACTAGATTCAGTGTTGGTAACATTAGAAGAAGTACTGGGAAGCTGAGATTGCCAACACTACAAGTCCATCCCAGACCCAAGCCCCAAATTGTCCACAAAAGATGAACGGAATAAATGTTTGCACTGTTCGGGGGGGGGGGGTCTCACGTGAAAGGAAATCCCACATTTGCCGAGGAGTGGCAGGGACCTCTGAAAAAAGATAAGCTTTCGCTGGTTCGTGGAAAGCACACAGAGAGATTTCTAAACAAATGGCTGTGGCTCAAAAACGGGTACCAAAATGGAACCCTGGTAAGTGGAAACATGGACCAAAACCTGCGTAACCCCTCCTGTTTAATTTTGAGCCACAGCCAAATAGCCCCAGCCGGTATCCTCAACAGCAAGCCCGACCTTCCGGAACCGCCCAGAGACGCTGCGAACTCCGGAGACGATCCGGGCTTACCAGCTGAAAAAGCTGGGGGAAACGATCGATCCAAACACTTGCCGCGAGTCGCGGCTAAAGTGCAACTCGGGGCAAAGGTCGATCACCTTTTGCAAGTCTCATGGAAACCGATTGTTTCCAAAAGGTCTCTCCGGTGTCTTTGGTCTAAGCCTAGGTCCTCCAGACTTGAGAAGTTAGAATAAGGCTACCCATTTTTTTTCTTCTGTAGTCTATTTTAGTAGCGGAACCCTCCCCCCAAAAAGGGTAAAAGACCAGCCATGAGAGGTGAGGCATGAGGCGTGGGGCCATCCTGCCTCCATCTTGTACTCGAAGGGCTTGATGCCCAGCTTGCCCAGCAGCACGGCGCCGCTCGCGGAGACTCGCTCCCCGTTGGTCAGGATCCTGAAATCCTCGATCGTCGGGGGGCTTGCTAAACTCGTACCCTGGTTCCCGGGTTCAGCTGGCTATGTATATATATATATATATATGGTCCCCCCCCCCCAAAAAAAAAACGCCTGTTTGCAGAATTCACTGGTATGTGCGATGTGCATATATATTAATATATATATATATATCTATGTGTTGTCACCCCCCTAAGACGGATTAGTTGTTCCAACCATATGGACAGTTATCAACTCTTTGCTGCTGCTGTTCAACATGAAAATGTGCAACCACGACGTGACTTCTCACCAAAAAAGAGTGACAACTGACTTACCCACCAAACATGTGCAACAACAAACATATATATATATATATGTACATGGTCACCCCGTCCCCATGATCTACCTTTCCGCCCTTGAATAACAACAAACACGTGGTTCCCTTTTTGTTTGCTGTTTTCTTTACCGGTTGTTGGAAGTTTGTTCCAAAACCAGATTCTGGTCAGAAAACCAAGGCTAGCTTTAGCAGGCGTGGGGGCATTAATTTGGAAGACGACAATTGGTGTGGGTATGCCAGACTTGGAAGCAGTGAGGCTTGAGAGTTCGTAGTTTGGTTGTACTTTTCAGGTGCTGTGGCATTGCTGCACAGCCAGGCCAGTTTGAGTCGTAGACCTCCTGGGCTGCCAACGATTTGTTTTTTTGGGACCTTACACCATTATAGTGAGTCCAAAGTGCTATGAGGTCCAAAGCAAAACACAAAAACAATCAGGCTCCAAAAGATGCAAAGTGTGTCACCATCAAGGGCAGGGTCAACTTCCATATGACCATGTACGGTGAAGTCCCCTGAACATACATAAGTTGAGAAAGCAGGTCGTATTTATGTCGTTTGATGCTACCCTTTTTGAGCAAACAAGAGTCATGTTTTTTTCTTGTTAAACAATGGTACTAACAGAGTCTATCCAAAACGAATGAATCAAAAGGGCGGATATCGCACTCAATGATTAAACTGCCGCCGATCACCTTCATCCACCGGTTTGGAGTGTGGCTCAACCAGGCACCACAAAAAAGCCATCTTGTCCAGTCAAATGATTGCCCCCGGTGACTCGGTCTAAACCAATCTCTCAACTACCGATAAAGAGACGAAGTTGAAAAATGGACAACCGGTTTTCATCCGGCGCCAGTTGGGATTCATGAAACCCTATGAATGGGACAACCCATTCAAAAAAACTGGTGCCTGACGTGCTCAACCGAATTGAGACACTCGTCGCTCGGGGTCGCTCGCACGCGCAAAGCAAAACCACGAAAACCACCAAACCAGATCCGGGGCAAGAACTCCTGAGCTCCCCAGTTTCGAAGACCCCGCTGTCCAACCCCGGTTTGTGGAAGAAACTCAAGCACATGCGGCCAATTGGGCAAACAAAATATCTGGGAATCGGGCTAGGTACCCCATTCAAAACGGCGCTTACAAAGGAGCTCAACAGAAGCCTTAACTTTACCAGTTGTAGTGCGGCTAACAAGCCTTCACTTTGGAGGGTTGAAAGCGGTTAAAGTACCTCCTCAAATGGTACCAAGGGACCACTCTATGTGGGAAACAAGACTTTTGCAGAATTACCATGGTGGATCATCCTTGTGACTACTTTGTCACTCTAGAGGTTCTTTTTTTGTCTTTTGGTATCACCAAAAGTGGGCCAAAGGAAACCCCAATTTCCCAGAACCACGGACCCTTCGGGTAGTAGCATTGGCCCAGGGTCGGACACCAGCTCGATCTGGCCCTTCACAATCTTCGTGCCGATGTTCAGAGCCTACGCGGCGAACTGATGAACAGGTTTAGGGTTAAGGGTTAAGGGTTAAGGGTTTAGGGTTTAGGGTTTAGGGTTACGGCAAACCATGTTGGGCCAACTCAGAGCTGCTGGGTCTTCAGGTAGTGCTTGTTAAGGCTGCCAAGACTGGGACTCTGGGAAAAACAAACAACAAAGGAGACCAAACTCATCTTCAACAGCTGTGCTCGAGTCATCTGTTGGGAAAGGACCACACCTGAAAGGAGCTCCGATTTTGGACCGCCGCAGTCGTTAAATATGCGGCTATATACTCTACTGGACACAGGACAATAAGTGAGAAGCGGCTTTGTATCATCGACAAGAAGCTCGTCCAATGTCCCGAACCTCAAAATGAGAGCAAAGTTTGACCAAAGCTCCTCAAAGGATCGGCCCCGAACAAAATGCCCAAGGAAACCGACACGAGGCCCAGTAAACCCGGTTTGACTCACAGGGAAATGCACCGAATGGACCAAATGGATCCCTGTCCAGGCAAGAGATTCACGTGTCCTCAAAAAATAATCCTTCACTTGCTGAGTGGGTTGGCTTCAAAAGTCCAAAGTAACCCTACAGTCGCCGTATTCCCCAAAACAGTTCGTCAATTGACTGGCTTCCACTGAACTGCGCACTTTTGAATGTCCAACAAGAGGAAATGGAGGGATCCCTCCGGGGCTCCAAAGCCGGTCAGCTTCCGTCGGAAACGCGCGAAAGAACCATTGGGTAAATCTGGGCAAGTTGCTCTAACACAAGTAACGGCATCAGGTTAATCCACAGGCAAAGGACCACAAGTACAGGAAATGAGGAACCCACAAGATAAGATTCCGAATGCTCCAGTCCAGATCTGCGCCCTGCGCCAGCACTGCCCCTATGCCGTGCGCGCCAGAAGCGAAAGAACCGCCCAGCCTGGAAGAAGGAGGTCTGAGAAGGGTCCATGCCAGTGGGGCCCGCGGGGATGAACCAATCCACGATGGAGGTCCTGAAGTGACATGGAAAGGGAACCCCTCCGAAAAAAGTGATGCCCAAGCTGGAACAAGGCGAACCCGTCTATGGCAGAAAATGGCAACCCCACTCCAATCTTCCATTTGCTGAAGCCTGAAGCCCCCTGGAAAAAGACATGTGCCCAGTGATAGATTTCCTTTGAAACCAACAACGGGAAAGTAATCAACATTCTTAAGCGCATGGGTTCTAATTGAGGCCCAAAGCTATGGATGGCTTGCATTTTTCAACACGGAGCCCGGTAGGTCGTGATATCAGCGTCAACTGACATAGAAACTCCAACTTTGGAACCCTGCAGCTTCTTTTTCCTGAAGGGTTGGAGCCCTAGCATTCAAACGCCATGTTCGCCTAAGCCATTCCCGACCGCATCCGTTTTGCACTTAAATAGTGATCATGCACTAGGATTGAGCAACTCTTCATGGTTGACAACCAAGAAAAGGGTCACCCCAACAGACATGTCACTTTTGTGTTTGGTTGCCAAGCGAGTTGGGTCCCATGCAGATTCCTGTCATTGAGGGATGCTCATGCAAATGCCTTGTTTTGGTCCCTTTTTCCTAGGGTTCAACCATACACAATAGTGGTTATACTGTGCATGGACGAGATCCTGCACCGCTTTGAATCCATTATTGAACCAATGGTTTCTTGTTGTTTTACAGCGGAATCATCACAAACCAGGGTTTCGGGTTTTTGAATGATGGTGCGGAACGGATTTCGCAACCATCCACAGTATGACCGCCCATTGAAGGGGTGCGAACCAAAAAAGGCTTTGCGAACGCTTGCGAACCCAACCAAGGTGTGCGAACGTTTGCGCAGGCACGACTACAATTTACAGCAAAAGGCAAGACGAAGCTTGCGAACCCAACCTGTGCGAACGTATCCGCACTGTTCCCATTAAGTACTGACCACTGGCTATTGTGCAAGCAACCCAACTCAAGGAGTCAGGACTGCCTGAAAAGCCCGGCTGGTAGTGGAGCCTAGCTTGAACAAAGTATAAGACGATCCTAGCCATATTTGGTAGGGACATGCTGCGTGAACGGGAAGCCAAAATGCCCCAACCCCTGGTTGATTGACAGCCTTCGTGCCGCCCAGCGGTGGGGAAATTGGATGCAGCAGCCCGTGTTTGGGGTACACGTTGCCAGGGAAACGTGGACGTTTCGGGGTAGAAGACCATGTTCGTTTAAAAGGGCACTTAATTTCTCGGGTGGGCTCCATGGCAACGTGGAGGATGTACCCTTCTTCCCCCGAACATAGCATTTGCGGGAGGGTACCTGGAAGATCGGCTTGGAGGGGGCCATTTCCCCGTCAAGTGCCATGTGAGTTGGAGGGAGGGCAGTTGATTTTTAGAGGAAGCCTTCTCCGTTGGGACCACAAATGCAGCCAATGTTTTAACAACCAACTTGGCGGGGGATGCTCCGCCAAGTGACTTGTCAAGGGAAACCCAAGGAAAACCGATGGGAGTGTTGAGGTAGACCAAGGGAATTTCTACCCAAGCAAGCTTTCTACCAAGCTCATGGTTGAAAGCTCAACCATTTTCAGTGATACCAACATGGGCCATTCCATTCCCCATACTGAATCACTGTGAAGTGGGCCCCCTTGGTATCACAGAAAGTGGGATCCTAAATATGGGAACCAATGGAGGTGACCAGAGGTCACGTGACCTCCGCACATTCCATTAAAGGGCTGGAAGCTCCTGTCACGCTTCCCAACCTCCAAATTGAAGACAAGGAGCTGGCCAGCCTTTGCGCCGGACTCACGCTTGAACTGGCCCAAGACCTCCCGGATGTCATCCAAGGAGCAGCTCCTCAAATCCAATAGATTCCATGTGCGGGGATTCAACAAGGCGGCCGCCGTTCTGTTGGGGACTCCCCTTTTTTGGTTGGAATTCAAGGAAACAGACAGGGAAAACAACCCGGAGTAGGCCCCTTTTGAGAAACCCCCAAAATGCTTGGAAATGCGCCATTCACCTGGTTCAGAAACTGTTCAATTCACGCACGTGGCACTGTAACCTTGGTCTTGCCTACTTCTAAATTAAGCCGAGAAAGGTTAGCCTGAAAAATCCACCACTCCCAAGCATAGGCAAAGAGCGTGGCGAAGATGAAGCCGATGTTGCCCTGCATGATGCTCCGCAGCTTGTCCAGGCCCGCCTCTCGACTCTATGACTCTCGCGCCCTCACAGAGCCCATCTTAGCCAAGAGAGAATTGCAACCTTATTGAGTGTCCGGCTTTTCTATTCGATTTTAACCTGGGTGCAAAATTGGGGGGGGGGGTCAGGAAACCTAGACATACAAATTCATGTTGGCTTCCGTTCGGGTAGGATAGGGCGGCCCGACCCACACCGGCGAGCCCATTGTTTTGACCGATGTGTAAAGCCAAGGGACAAGACATAGCGGGCTCTTGTTCTTGGTTATCAAGTCCAAAAAAACAAGTTTTCCTTGAGCCACGACTTGGGGTGACTTAAACAACTAGGTCCTCAGTAGAGAGCTTTTTCTGTAGTCTATTTTAGTAAGGGAACCCTCCCAACCAAAAAAGAAACGGTAAAAGTTGGCACCTAGCTGGAAGACCTAGCAAAGCATGTCTTTGGCTTTGGTCTGTACTAAACCTTGTGCGACTAGTTGCATCAAGATCCCGCCGAGAGGATCCAATCGAAGGGTGGTTGAGCTCTTGACACGGAACCAGGGGAAACGGGGGGTTCTCCCAAAGGAGATCCCAAGATCTTCCGTGGGTCGGCCCCCGAGAGTCGCGCCTCCGGGTGCTGCTCGTGACCGATGGCCAGCGCCTTGCGGATCATGGTGTTCTTGCCTGAGCTCGAAGCGCGGAAGATGTTGGAAGGTGGCGTCCATTTGGTTTGTTCGACCCCTGGAAAAAGCGAGACTTCCATTTGCTTAAGCCCCCTGGAGAAAAACATATACATATATATATATATATATACACATATATATATACATATATATATATATGTATATTAAACAAGATACATGTCCAATTGTGATGGATTCCCTTTAAAACCAACAGGGGAAAATAGAAGGAAGGGTGAATGGAAGGTTGCGTTCGAAAGGAGGGTGAATGTGAAGTTTCATGCTGACCCCAGGAAGGGTGGGAGTCCCTGGGTTTAGTCGCGGTTCAAACACATTTTGGAGGGGGATGTTCCCCCATTGTTTTTTTTTTTTTTTTTTTTGTTTAAACAAAAACGAGCTTTATGATTTCAGGGGAACATCAAACAACCCGGGAAGATCCTTCCGACACTGCTTCAGGATGGCTGAGAAGCGGTCTCCACGAAAAGAAAAAAAAAACATGAAAAAGATGAGCAACCGCTGGAGATTCACATGATGTGAACTGAGGTCCCAGGTAGTCCATCAACAAAGGAACAAAACAACTTCAACACCAAATTGAAAAAAAAACAAAAAAAAACGTACACTTAAAAAACACGAAACATCACACATACTGAAAATAACACAAATATACTTAAAGCAACGACAACAATAAACACTTAAAATAACAACATGACATGGCTCTCATCCTGATTCATAACGAATACCCTCCGTTCCACTAACATAGCACCTGTGGGAGGGTACCTGGAAGATAGATTGTTTTGTTGTGGGGACCCCTGGTGCCATGTTAGTGGGAATGAGGGTAGTTGATGTTAAAGGAAGCCTTCTCTATGAGAAGAAGGAGTTACATAACTAGGTCCTTCAGTAGAAAGGTTAGAATAAGGGTGCCCTTTTTTCTGTAGTCTATTTTAGTAGGGGAACCCTCCCCCAACAAAGAGTGAAAGGGCACTACCGGGGGACCTAGCAGCTTCAACAGGGGAAATCCAGTGACCCCTATAAATCAAGATCTTTGGCAATGCCACTTTGGACCGGTGCATCTCAAATGGGCAAAATGTGGAAAGCACATGTAGATAAACTCCACCGCCCCCGGCAAGCAAAGACGAACAGATCTACTTCGCGGTCTTCTTCCGAGCCGCCCATCAGCACCACGGCCTTGCCTCGCAGCTCCATGCGGATGTCCTCCGAAACTTGGGACGCCCGGCTTACCCTCCCTCCAACTAACATGGCAACTGACGGGGGCTCCCTTCAAAAGGAAATGAATCTTCCAGGTACCTCCCCACAGGAGCCACGTTAGTTGGAGGAGGGGTAAGTCCACTTAAGGCTTCCCCAGAGGGGTGTCAACTCCCCCAACCCAATTGGGTTGCGCCCTTGTTTTTTTGTTTTTTTTTGCCTTTTGGTTTGGTTGCGCCCTGGTTTTTGTCTGGTTTGGGTTCTTCCTGTTCATGGTTGACGTTGGAAGGGGAGCAACAAAAAAAAGAAGCAGGTAAGTGCGGATTTCCCACTGAACCACAATAAGCAGAAATGTAAAATATTTCCCAACAACCACCATGTTTTTGGGATGGGTTGGAACAGAAACTCGAAGGAAACCCTTGCCAGCTTGAGGGCTCCAAGTCCAGATGCTCTCAGGGCTCCAAGTCGCGACCCCTCTCCCTCGAGACAGGAAATGGTCCGGAAGGACCGGGAAGTCGTGAGTTGGCAGCGCAAAAGTGCGGCTTGCCAAGAATTGAACGGTCAACATGCCTTTATTCCAGGTCCCTGGTTCTAAAATCGTCTATTAAACTGTTACTCCCCAAGATGTCGCAAGTCAACATTAGCATTGTATGAACATGCTTAAAGGTCGGAGTCCCACTTCCCAATTGTGTGCTTTGTAAGTGTGAAAACATTCTGTGGGGACTTGAGTTCGGCAAGTTAGGACATTTGTCCCGAACCAATTTTCGACCCTTGGAGATTGGTCATCGTTTAGACCGGGTTTCCGATGTCCTTTTTCTTTTACCTCCGAAAGAGGCGATCGGTTCAATGGGCACCAGTGAATTGATCAACCTAAGGGGAAATCCAGTGACCCCTGATCTTTCTGGCTTTCTGGTAACGGATCTTGGGTGGTTTCGATCTGTTTGGATCCTAGGTCCTCCAGTAGAGAGGGAAGAGTAAGGGTGCCAACTTTTTGCTGTAGGGGGTTTCCCTCCCCCACAAAAGGGTCAAAGGGCACCCAGCTGCGGGACCTAGGATCTGTTTCCCCCAAAACATTGGGCACCAATCTGGAAACCAAGCTTGCTGGGCTGCCCTTAGATCCCCCGGTAAAAGTGAACAACTTTTAGTGGGTCAAATGGAAACTACCACTAAACACGAAAAAGCTAAAAAGCTAAGGAACCGGATGGCTGGGAGCCACCAAGTTTGGTTGGACATCCTTTGTGACTGGAGTGGATTGATCTCGAGGGCTTGGCCTGGTTGTTAATTGTTATGTTTTGGTGGGCAGCTAAACTTTTGCGAAACAGTTGTTAATTGTTTGATGTTTTGGTGGGCAGCTAAACTCTTGCGAAACAGTTGCTAATTGTTTGATGTTTTGATGGGCAGCTAAACTTTTGCGAAACAGTTGTTAATTGTTTGATGTTTTGGTGGGCAGCTAAACTTTTGCGAAACAGTTGTTAATTGTTTGATGTTTTGGTGGGCAGCTAAACTCTTGCGAAACAGTTGCTAATTGTTTGATGTTTTGGTGGGCAGCTAAACTTTTGCGAAAGAGTTGTTAATTGTTTGGTGTTTTGGTGGGCAGCTAAACTTTGGCCTTTTTCCTGTGAACAATATGGGAACCCGCTCGGAGTTTTGTGGAGTCCCTGGTTGATCTGTTTTGGGAGGGTGTCCGGTTCCTTTCAGTGGGGAGTTACAGAGGCCACCATCCGCTGAATAGGATGGGGATCCGGGTCAACAGGAAAATCCGATGCACGGGAATGGCACGACGGTTTTGCCCTGAAGCACAAAGAAACAACACGCGCAACTTGTCACACTGCATGGGAAGGATCCTTGCTGCTACAAACACGAGTCTCTGAACAGCAAAAAAGCATCTTGCAAACGGCGAAGCGAACACCAAGTAAACAAGTACACATGTGTGTATATACATATGTATGTGTATATTCATTGATTGTCCATTGGTTGTAAAGTAGCCTGCAACCCTGTTCCAATTATCCTTATAATGGATTTGAGCCGTCACTGGACCAGTGTGCCCAGGTGCGTATTTTTTTCAAAATTTGGAGGGTCCCCCAAGTCCCGCCCAATCTGACCATCTCAGTTCTCCAATTATCCCGCTGTCTTGTTCCCTTGAAATTAGGACCCCCATGTTATTGAAATAAAACAGTTTGGCTAGCCTTTTTTTCCAACAATAAAATGGGGGTGCTAACCCCCACAAAAGTTACCGACTAGGGGGCCGCGCGAGAAGAAAAGGTTAGCCCGCCGGCGAAAATAGAATGGGTGTCGGGAAAGAGGTCGAAAACTAAGATGGCCACAGGGCTACCCCCAAAGTCTAGCCCATCGGCCGGGCCTAAAATCTTCAGGGGCTAACCTTTCCCAAGCCGTACTCTCAGATTCACAGTACTTCATCTAGCATTGCCAATTCTAAATTTAGTACTGCCAAGACCTGCTCTCTGATTCCCATCGCTTAATTTGGTGTTGCCAATTCTAAATTGAGTATTGCCAAGCCTTACTTTCAGATTCCCTGTGCTTTATTTGGTATTGCAAATTCCCATTTAGTATTGCCAAGATTTACTCTCAAATTCCCAGTGCTTGATTTAGTATTGCCGATTCTAGATTAAGTATTGCTGAGACTAGGCTTACAGTACTCTCAGATTCCCAGACTTAATTTAGGAAGTATTGCCAAGCCTTGCTCTCAGATTCCCAGTACGTAATTGAGTATTGGCAATTCAATATTTGGTACTGCCAAGTACTGCCAAATATAAATTGAGTATTGGCATGCCCGGCCTTTTTCCCGGCAACACAACTTTCCATGAATGCGACACTCGAAACAGTCGTTTCGATTCTGAATGAGGGACAAAAACGTTGTATACAAGCGACCCCAATTACAAAAGCGGGTCCGACATTAGTGGTAATGGCAATAAGGGATGCTTGGGGTTTTGAATGAGGGCTACGACGCCACCCCGCGAGGAAGCTCCCTTCTCCCAACCCCCCCCCCCCCGTCTGTGGGGGGAGTGAGTGGAGATGGGGGTGAGGGAGGTTTGTTTTTTGGGGGGACGGGGGTAAGGGGAGTTCTGGGGAAAACGTTGAACATGCAACGCTTAATCTTAGGTTCCCACACAAGTTCAGGGCTGCCAATACTAAATTAATTAAGTATTGCACTACTTAGTCTTAGATTCCCACTACTAAACTCTGTATAGCCAATCATAATCGATCTTTTAGATCCCGAAATTGCCAATACAATATTTAGTATTGCCAATAGTTGATCTTAGTTTCCGAAAACTAATTTCAGTGCTGCATAGTGCTGCCAATACCCAACTTAGTATTCACAGTACGGAATATTGCGTTCACAATGCTGAATTCAGTATTGTCAATACTGAATCTTAGGTTCACAACTGAAGCTTAGGTTCACAACTAATTCTAAATTCAGCATTACCATTGCTAAGCTTAGCATTGCCAATACTCAATCTCTAATTCCTGGCGGCACCTAGGTTGCTAAGAAAAGATGAAGCACAAGCACCAAATATCACGACCCACTTTATCGAACATACAATGACTCCCTTGATCGAAAATAAAATGGTAGGACCTAGCCCCCAAACCAAGAAATCTGCACTTAACTTTTTTGGGCTTGGGCTAGCCTCAAAGGCTACTTACCTCAAGCGCAAATAAAAAGGGGTCGACACAAGATAAAATGAGGGTGCTAACCTATTCAGCCGAAAACCAGCCACTGAAAATATTCAAGCTTTCAGGGTCGTAACCCCCCACCATTAAAGTACAAACACGGCAGGGGGATCATTTCGACCCACAGTACTTTGACTCCGGAAACTATTTGGGGTGACCAAACATGGCACACTTATAGAACGGTAACCTTTTGGGGTGACTAAAAATGGTTGACACCCAAAAGGTCAGTTCACGACTCGCCGTCGCCGGCAGTGGTTTTGACTCGTGTTTCTGTCCGCACCACTCAAAGCCCGGCTCCAAGGCTTTTCCCCCGGCAAACGCCTGCATCTGCTTGGAGGAGATGTTGTCCACATCTGGGCTCGACTAGAGGATCCAAGGGCAAGTGATACAGGGCTGTGCCTTTCATGGTCGGCATGAGCCAACATCGGTGAAACCAAGGAATCAGCTTCCAGATTGGTTCAACTTCTTGCAGAAACCCTTAGAGAACACCAGGGTATCGGGAAAAAAAGAAAAGAAAAAGAAAAAACCTTGGGCTACAAACGTGGAACTGCAGAGGCCTTCTTGAGACTACTTTCCTCTTGGGTTCGGTGTGGGGTCTGAGCACTTTCACGTAGGGTATGCGAAACTCAAGATGTCCGCTGGGTGATGGCTTGCCATCTGAGGCTTGCGCTGACCAGCAGTGCATTGGGAGTGTTCACGCAAAGGTCGATGAGCTTGTTGAAGTACCTCGGTGTCGCGGCTTCCAAATCGCACCCCCAGTGAACATCCCAATCCCCACTGAAATAGGTTCTAAAACGGGTGGTGCACCTACCCCAGAATGGTACCATTGGTTGCGACCCACAGCCACTTTGCTTTTTGAGAGGGTCAACATGCCTCCTCAAATACTTGTACGCTTTGGGTGTGACAAGGCAACTGCCAAGAGCTAGTGGCCGTCCTGGAACCTCTACGTGACAATCGGGAGGCTTTGACCCTTGAGTCATGCCTGTTCCATGGTGGATGCCCCAAATTCCATCTCAGGGAACACAAGAACCTCCTGATTGACTGCGATTTACCGTAGCTTTGTGCAAGAAGCTTGGCTTACTTACTTGAGGCATCTGTGCCATCTACCGCGCTCCCTGCAAAGAACCCCCCACAAAAGACGCGCTGGCCTTTTGGAGCCCGCACGAAACATGGATCAAGCTTGGCAGCTCGACAAAAAAAGCCAAGGGCCTGCAACTAAAGCTGGTGGCTTAGAGATAACCAGCCGCACTTAGACAACTAAAGTCAAGGGCTTGGCATCTCTTCGACCATTGACTCATCAAAAGTGTGGCTGGTTCTTTTGGGGCATGCGCAGGACTATCTTGCCTGAGGCGAAGCGTGCCCCTCCTTTTATGTTGTTTCTCTTTCAGAGTAAATCGCTCGGTCTTCCAGTAGAAAGGAACTATAACTGTATCAAAGCATCGTTTATTCAGACGGGGGAACCGGTTTCTTGGCCTCCCTGATGTGTTTTTCTCCCCAAAGCGGAGCCTCCGGTACTCACAGCTTAGGACACATGGCTGTATTCCTCTACGGTCCGCAGATCCTTCGCTCAGGTCGGACATTTGACGCTTGGGCCTAACCCCAAAGGTCCAGAAATGCAGCTGGCGTGGTTGGAATTGGCAGTGGCCCAGTTTGTGGTTTGAATGGAAACCAAAGGGAGAACCACCAGAAATGCAAACCAAAGGGAGAACCACCACATTTTGGGAATTGATTTTGGGGATTTTGGGAATTGATTTTGGGACTCCATCGCAGAGCACGCATTCTTCTTCGCGAGCTTCTCCTTGTTGGGCATGGTTCCGAAAGAAAGTCCTGGCCAAAACTGCCCGTGCCAATCCGTGACCGAGTCTGTCAAAACGAGCAAAGGACCTTGGGATCGCTTTGAAGGGACTCACATGGCTGTGGCTCAAAAAAAAAGCAACCAAAATGGCACCGTTCTGGAGACCAAACCAAAACCTAGGTAACCCCGCTGTTCAATGTTGAGCCACACCCAAATGAACAAGAGCTGCTGGTTGTCAGCAGGTCCTTTCAGGGACTCCCTAGGTTCATTCTCAACGCCGTGCGTCATTCCCTACCTATCGTCCAGCAAGATGATTTCCAAGTTGCAACGCTTTGCAAAAGCTCATTTCTTCGTGGCCAAGCAGAGCTAGAGGTCATTCCAACTCATTGCCTGCTGAGAACCAGCAAGTCAAATGTCTGGTCAAGGGAAAACTGGCATTGCCACGAGGACTTTTTGTTGAACAAAGAGGACCCGCACCCTTGAACAAAATCAGGAACTTCACCGCCGACAAGCTCATTGGGGTGTCTCTTTCATAAGGATAGCCTTTTGGGGTTGCTTTGATCCGGGAAGCCAAAGGAAAAACCCGCATTTTAGGGTCCCTCAAAAGACAGCCCCATTTCTCGGCAACGTGATACTGGAGGCAATATTGGCCCGGCCCCCGACTTGTTGAAGGAAAAATTAAGAGCATTTCCATGTGTTTCCCAAGAGGACAAGGAAAAACTTTGGTGGTTAAGAAATGTGGTGAGTTGCCCTTTCCGTCCCTCCTTCATGGACCATCGACACTGAACTGTTAGCTGTTGAGAGTGAGATCCAGGGTGTTCTCAACAGATCACAGATTTGTTGACATCCTGGAGATTTGGGACTGTTCTCGCGTGAGCAGCGCTTTGGTTTTCAGGGGCTGCAAACCGATGCTTTGCATCTGAAGACTCAAATGAAAGCAGGATCTGCATGTGCAATGTCCTGCCCCGTGCAGATTCCTGTGTGGACTCCGGCTTGTCGGCAAGTGAAAAGGGCTCAAAGAAAAAAGAGGGACTCTCAACCTCTCCTGGCCAAACAAAAAGACCCCTGCAACACTTGTTCACTTTGCTCGGGAAAATGAAGGAAGCCCAGAACAAAGGGTTAAGCCAGCAAGCCCTGGCCAACCTTCTGAACGCCCGTCCTGTCCGACAGCGCGCACGACGATGCTTGAGCTGACACCGCTGCGGCGCGCAAAACTCGACATTGTGGAAGGTGTGTGTGTGTGTGTGTGTGTGTGTGTTTTCGACCGCCGATCTTGTTTTGTGGGTCAAACCAAAACTAGGTCCTCCAGTAGAGAGGTTAAAAAGGTTAGATTAAGGGTACCCTTCTTTCAGTAGTCTATTTTTATAGGGGAACCTAAAAAAGGGTAAACGGGCACTACTGTGGGACCTAGTTGTAGGGCCAAACGATCGGTTTGGGCTTGGGATTCAGAAGGTCGGCAATCCCAGGGTGATCCTATTATTCCTATTCAATTTTCAATCTGGCTGACCTACACGTCACAAACCAATTGGCAGCCTGACCTCTGCACTCGACGCACAAAATATGTGCCACCAAGCAGTCCGGTTGTTTCTTCGGGGCCAAGACAGGAAGCTTCATTCATTTTGTGAAGATGGAAACCCAATCCCTCACAAACAAACGCTGACCCACGCACGCACGCGCGCGCGCAAAGTGCAAACTTGTTTTTTCGACAACGCGCTGTGCCCATCCAGCTCGGCTCCTGCACTGGTCAGACGCGGATGAGCTCAAAACAAAAGAAACTCAGATCTGCAGAAGAACCTTCAACAAAGACACACGATCGCACGCGCATGTTTGAGCCAGCTACCTTGGTCGTTTCTGATGCCGGGGGTCTTATCCTTGTTGTTGTTTGCATGATAGGTCATCTTGATTGGCTGTTGAACAGCATAAGCGCCCGGTCAAGCTTCACTGTCAAGCAGTGCTGCATTCAATATCACCAGAGTCAAGGATTACTGAGTTACGACACTGGCGGATACTGGGAGAGGGTGTTCAACGAGACGAGAGTCCCTTGCCCTTTTTCAAGGCAAGGAAAGCTTGCATCTCCACGTTCAAAGCATGATCAGCAACGTCACTGCAATACAACAGGGCGAACTGCTGTGACTTCCTAGAGCTTGGCGCTTGAATGCCAGTTTAGAATGATTCCCGTGGCCCCTTCCGTACCCCTGCGCGCTGTAACGCAGCCAAACCGTTGGCTTGAAGCATGACTTCGAGAGATAGTTTGCAGAGATATTCAAGTCTAGTCTTCCAGAAAGAGATGTGTTTGGGGGGCGGTGTGGTGTTTGGAGGTGGTCTGCTTGGGGTAGGGGGTTGTGCTGAGTTGCATGACGCGGCCGCCAGCAAAAACTGAGACAAGCTCGGTGACTCAGCATGTCGAGGAACGAGCCCATCTGTGTGTCGGTCGAAACCTCCAATTGATGTAAAGAACATCAAGCTTTTGGAGGGGGCCTATCGCTTTCCCATGTTTCAAGCACTCGCCCAAGCAAGCCTTTTCAAGAGCTCTCGGAGCCAAAATCCGTCACAGGTAACCTTGCTTCAGCTGCAAATGATTTCCCTTGCCAGTTGCCCAAAAAGCCATAGCTGCTATAGCTGGTGTGCCACCAGGCTATTTTTGGGTATGGTTGGCCCTGCCAACTACCACAGAGTGGCAAGCCGGGGAACTCAACTCAATCAACAAAAGGCACACCTATCATAGATATTTATATCCTCACATGATCACTCTACATGCCTAGTCATGGTTATTGACTTGTTGGGTGGAGAGTGCAGTTCACACTCCCCAGGCTCTCCGAAAAGGTACTCCTGACGCTCCACAATGACTTTTGGGTATACTGGTTGGTCTTTGAAGAACAAACCAAAAGTTGTTTCCTAGAAAACATATGCGGGGAGAGAGCAGTTCACACTCCCCAGGCTCTCCGAAAAGGTACTCCTGACGCAACGAAATTACCTTTGGGTATGGTTTGGCCGCAGTTCCGGACCCAAAAGCAGTCAAAGGCGAACCTTGCTTCAACCCAAAAACCATGGCTGGGCTCCAAAATGGGTTTAGTTTGGGGTATGGTTTGCCACCAAGCTGCAAAGTTCCTTGGGTATGGGGTGGCCCTTCCAACCACCACAGAGCAACAAGTTGGGGAGTCCAGTTTCGGAACTCAAAGAATCAACCAACAAGAAACAAGGCACACCCATCACGGATACTTACATCCTCCCACGATCACTCTCGTTGGCTACCCTCGGCTGTGTGAGGGGTTGCTGACTTCTTGGAGCTTAAAAGCAAACTGAAAGCTGTCTCCTTAGAAAAACACCTATGTCTCCTTCAGCCAAGAGAGCTGAGTGCGATGCTTCAAGCTGAAGGAACGGGAGCAAGCGGGGCGACAGGAAGCCGGAGAAAGAGAGGGAGGCAGGTGCCACGAATGGGCCGTTCCCCGCCCGAGGCGGACACTGCAACTTTAGAGGTTTCGTTTCGGTGTCGTTTTGGGTATCGCTTTGAGCGCTGGCGGGCCGACTGCGCCGCCTGAAAACGCCAAAAAACAAGCATGATGGGAAGGAGAGCAAGCAGTTCTTCGGTATCCCAGAATGAAAGCAGTTCACACTCCGCAGACTCTGCGAAAAGGTACTCTTGACACACCAAAATGACTTTTGGGTATGGTTTGGCCCGTCCAGCAACCACAAAGTAAGAAGCCCGCAGTTCCGAACCCAAAATCCGTCAAAGGTGATCTTGCTTCAGCTGAAAATCAAAAAAGCCATAGCTGCTATGCCTGTTTCCCCAAAAACCATGGCTGGGCTCCAAAATGGGTTTAGTTTGGGGTGTTTGCCACCAGGCTGCAAAGTTCCTTGGGTATGGGGTGGCCCTTCCAACCACCACGGAGCAACAAGTTGGGGAGTCCAGTTTCGGAACTCAAAGAATCAACCAACAAGAAACAAGGCACACCCATCACGGATACTTACATCCTCCCACGATCACTCTCGTTGACTACCCTCGGCTGTGTGAGGGGTTGCTGACTTCTTGGAGCTTAAAAGCAAACTGAAAGCTGTCTCCTTAGAAAAACACCTATGTCTCCTTCAGCCAAGAGAGCTGAGTGCGATGCTTCAAGCCCAAGGAACGGGAGCAAGCGGGGCGACAGGAAGCCGGAGAAAGAGAGGGAGGCAGGTGCCACGAATGGGCCGTTCCCCGCCCGAGGCGGACACTGCAACTTTAGAGGTTTCGTTTCGGTGTCGTTTTGGGTATCGCTTTGAGCGCTGGCGGGCCGACTGCGCCGCCTGAAAACGCCAAAAAACAAGCATGATGGGAAGGAGAGCAAGCAGTTCTTCGGTATCCCAGAATGAAAGCAGTTCACACTCCGCAGACTCTGCGAAAAGGTACTCTTGACACACCAAAATGACTTTTGGGTATGGTTTGGCCCGTCCAGCAACCACAAAGTAAGAAGCCCGCAGTTCCGAACCCAAAATCCGTCAAAGGTGATCTTGCTTCAGCTGAAAATAATGTCCCTTGCCAGTTGCCAAAAAAGCCATAGCTGCTATGCCTGTTTCCCCAAAAACCATGGCTGGGCTCCAAAATGGGTTTAGTTTGGGGTATGGTTTGCCACCAAGCTGCAAAGTTCCTTGGGTATGGTGTGGCCCTTCCAACCACCACAAAGCAACAAGTTGGGGAGTCCAGTTCCGGAACTCAAAGAATCAACCAACAAGAAACAAGGCACCGATCACGAAACAAGGCAAAGAGTGACACAATGGAAAATATTATTCCGGCCACTCAACGCATGCAGTTCTAAATTGCAACCTCGCTGAGACATCCGCACACTATCGCCGGTGGCATAAAAACACGTAGAGCGGTGCCCGCAAATCCCCACAACCGTGTGCCTGTTTTAATTTAGGCCCACATCTCTTCCAACATCCCTTGCAAACACTCTGAAGCATGAAGCTCGCTTTGAGGGGGGCCTATCGCTTTTCCAGGGTTTTCCACGTTTCTACGAACTTCATGCCCATTCCTTGATAAAGTGGTCTTTTGAAGGTTTTGATGTTTGCACCTGTGAGTTGAGCACGAAACTCAGCCGTTCGGTGGTACTGTCATCCCATGGCCACTAGGAAATGAGAGGCACTGATACTTCGATCGATTTGGATTCAAAAGACACGGCTCCCTACAGTTCCCCTGGAACCATCACTGAAGGACCCCCGTGTCAACTCCCAGTTCAGTGTTTTCTTTGCTTAGTGACATTCATCTAGTACGTTCTTTTCAAACAGGGAATACCTCAAGATTCTATTAGCTTTTACCATCATCATGTTCGACAAGGGCCAAGATTTATGCTACATTTGCTTACGCCTCCATGAGACAAAAACACATGTCGAGTGATAGTTTCCCTTAAAAACCAACTGGGGAAATTTGCAAATATTCTCAAGCAAATGGAAGTGCCACATTCAGAATTTGTCGTACCCTCTATGGTTATGGCTAAATTGGAGAGTCCCGAGTCGGTTTTGTGGGAATAGAGAGTCCCCCATATCCCGAAATGGACCGAAGACTAATGATGGACAAAACCTTCTGCAAGCTGCTGTCAATCATTGGCCCACTTAGATATCCATGACTTCCCTAAATTAATTTGTAGCCCGGTTATAACCCACTGACCCGGGACTTACAACCATGGATTTGGTAGGTTCAAACTGGGATTACTAACTTAGCGATGCGTCCCGGACGATCTAATCTGCCCGTTGCTAGTGGGCGGCTGGGCCAGTTGCGATGGATGAAACCTTGTGACTACTGCGGAAACAAATACCCACCAACTCGTGCTGCAGGATTTTGCCCATCGCTGATGCCCGCGCTCCTCTCTCGCTCGCCCCGCATTGCGGCACTGCACTCGCAATCCTGGCGTTGGTTCGGGCTGTGGCGAAGGTGTTTGGTGCCTGCAAGTTGGGATGCAGCAGCGTTGCAAGCTTATCAGCTCTTGCAACCTGAAGTGTGCAAAACCCGTTTCCAAGAGGGATGTAGTCTTTTTGAAGCTTGTGAAGATCCATGTTACTTGGTGGAAGGGCAAGTCTGGCCATGATTAGCAGAAGTCATGATCATTGCGACAGCTGGAATAATGGATCCCCAAGCTTACAATTTCTCGCTATACCTGAATGGTCTAGTCCATGGTTGGCTAAGTTCCCAGGCATACAGAGGGTTTAGGATTGGGCCTAATCACCGTAGACGAAATCCTGCACGAGCGGGGATGGATGAAAGATGAACCACCTACCTGGACCCTCAAACTAGCCATCAACAAACGAATTTTGTCCAAACAAAATGGAGGCATTAACCAAAAGTCCCTTCTTCGAGTCCAGGTGGTTCCCTTGGCCTTGGTTACCAACTACCTGGTGTTGGCTGTTAACTTGTGAGACAATCTCACGTATCAATGCCTTTAAAGCGTTTAAAGTTGCGATATAAATTCATGCCGATGTCGGAATTCATGTTGTGTTAGGTATGAAGAAAGCATGAGAACAGCAAGCCCTGGGGCCCTGGTAGCCCGATTTGAACGTAGACGCATGGTGCCATGGGGTCACTCCGTTTTCGGATCCTTGCGGGAGCTCAGGTGACATTCTGTGCCGAGTTTGCCAAGGTCATCACCAACACCCCTGCATCTTTTGCATTCCACAGGTAGCTTGGCACACTTGCGTCCAGGTTTCCGAAACGCGAGGGCTGGGAGAACCGGCGTAACGCTTGTTCAAGTCGCTGAGTCCGATGAGCGATCTCTCATATGCTTCGTGCCTGGCTTAGCCGAAGAGGTCGAAGTCCATCTCCTCCTCTTCCTCCTCCTCCACCACAGCCTGAGGGAGTTGGCGATTTTGGCTCCCAGGATGGCTGCCCCAAGGGCTAGAAAGTACACAGAATTGGCGTTCAGCCCGGTGGACTGCTTTTGTTGCTAGAGTAAACTCCTTTTGGGGACCCATGTTAACCTGTAGGGGAGTAAACCGTAGACTCAGAACAATCACGGATCAGGCAATGATCCGTCACCGACACGCTTCCATCCGCTGCCTTTGTTTCCCTCCGCCTGCCAATGGGAAAACAACAAGAATGACAATTAAACTATCCTTGGTTGACTTGAGAGGCATCCCTGTGCTTCTCACCAAATCTGGATGATTCAGAATACTTCACCGGCATGAAAGAAGGGCCCTTCAAGCAAGGAACTTCAGTAAGCCACATGTGTCGCGATTCGATTTGGAGAAAGGCCATCCGTTGTGTCACCGCCGTTGGAGCCTTTAGCCTGACCCGTTCTTTCGACCCCGAGTTGCTCCTTTTTGGACCAAAATCAAGAGGTGAACCCAAGCTATGGCTATAAACAGCAAGCCCGGCTTCAAGGCGGCAAAGGGGGTCAGGATGGCCGCACATGGCAGGTGTCCCCACCAAACAAAATTGGACAAAAGCACCGGGTTGCTGCCCAAGTGCAAGGGGAAACGTGGAGCCCAGTTTTAAGGCTTACCTTGTTGAATTCTCTTTGAATTCCCAGTGCCTTTTCTCAAACACACACACACACAACCGACTAGGACCCGCGCACCGCCAATGCAGAGCATCGCCCGCGCCTTCTTCTCCTCCTTCTTCGCCGCACCGCCGCCGCCACCGGCGGCCGGGGCCGCCGCCGCCCCAGGGTTGGCGGCCGCGTAGGCGTCGGGGTCGGCGAAGAACTTCTTGGCCTCCTCGACCTGCGTTGGAGCCGAGTCCACCGCAGCCCTTGGGTGGCTCAAAATAGGGAAACCCCAAAAAATCGAATCCAGTTCCCTTTGAAGCCCAAAACGTGCAGGTTTTCTTTGGCTTTGTAGTCGCCCAAAATGGTGGATGTTCCTGTTGGCTTCCCTTCAAAACCGACCAACAAGGGTACCCTCAAAACAAAAAGACCCATTTTGCCGAATCGAGTCTGCTTCGTATATTCAATCAACCAAGTTGATAAAATCGTTTTGGAGGCCGCCAACACCCAAATAAAACCATGTCTTGCACTCAACATGGGGAGAACCTTCTGGAGACCCCATCCCAAAAAAGTCGAATATCTCCTTCTGCACCTCCTTGATTGGCGGTTCCATGGGAAAAAACAACTCCCCAAAAGCCAATTGTTTACGAGACCCTCATAATTTTGATAGCTCAATCGTTTCAGAGACCCATACAAAAAAGAAGAAGACAAAAACACACACACACACACACACACACACACACACACACACACACACACACAGACAGACAGACAGACAGACAGACAGACAGACAGACAGACACAGACAGACACAGACACACACAGACACACACAGACACACACAGACACACACAGACACACACAGACACACACAGACACACAGACACACACAGACACACACAGACACACACAGACACACACAGACACACACAGACACACACAGACACACACAGACACACACAGACACACACAGACACACACAGACACACAGACACACACAGACACACACAGACACACACAGACACACAGACACACACAGACACACAGACACACAGACACACAGACACACAGACACACAGACAGACACAGACAGACAGACAGACAGACAGACAGACAGACAGACAGACAGACAGACAGACAGACAGACAGACAGACACACAGACACACAGACACACAGACACACAGACACACAGACACACAGACACACAGACACACAGACACACAGACACACAGACACACAGACACACAGACACACAGACACACAGACACACACACACACAACACCCAAAATGGTTTGTCACACGCAATGGAAAACACAGTTGTTTCAGAGACCCTCAAAAAAAGGAATGAACAAAACACACAACACACCAAACATGGTTTTTTCACCCCCCATCCAAAGCTTCCGCCTCCTCGAAGGTGAAGTCGATGTCCGCCACAAGGGCCGCCACGTTCTTCAGGGCGTTGCCGAAGGCGTGGGGCAGGCCTGCCTCCGTGGGGATGCCCACCTGCCAGGCTTAAAACGGACGGGAGTAGGCAGGGGGACAAATTTCAACTGGGCCTGTCTGTTCTTGAAGGCGCCCTTTGTTTGGGGTAAAATGAAAGGAGGACCAAAAGGAACACCCATCATCTTGGGGGTCCAACCTATTTTGAGACAAAACCCAAACAGGGGTTTTGGACATCAAAACACGGCATCCTTTTGCCCTGTACAGGAAATCAATCAGATTCCGTCGCGACTCTGAGACTGCGCTCGCATCGAGTCGGAGCAAGACTCCAAAGAGTGTAGCCCAACAAAGCGTCCCTACTTGAGCGGAAAAATGATTCGGTGTCAGATCTTGGATCGGTTGGAACTTGTTGCAAAAATTGGTCAGAAAAGCCCGATCCGCCACGAGCAGAGCCCGAGCATGAACAAAGGTAGTGGAACAATCCTCACCGCATCATGCAGTTTTGGATGCGCCACATGTGCATCCCCGATGTGGAAGTGCTGCAGGGTATCCGACAGGGTACCAAAAGACGCTAACAGTCTGCAACAACTGGTGAAATCTACAGTTGGTGCGTAAGCCAACCCTTCACCGACCCAACACATCCTCTGCTACCTCTGGAAACAGCGGAAACCGAAAGTCAGTGGTGAATCACAAACCTGCGTGGCACGCATTCGGGAAGTCATACAAGCGACTCGCCCAAAGACGCAAACTTGGATCGTCCAAGTCAAGTGGCAAGCCACTTGCGTGATAACCCACAGGGTGAACGGGTGTCTTGGTGGCTTCATCGCCAACTTACAAACGTGTAGTGGATTTTCTCAGCCAAGCGAAGAACTAAATCACCAGCTGTCCAAGACCGGGCCTCACGGCTGAAGGCAGCCATGTTGGCGATGCCGGCCAGGAACTTCTGGATCAGCATCTCCTGGCCGAGTTTCTTTGGGCGCACCGGTCGCCATCACCAATTTTCTAGGCTGGAACTAGGACCCCAGCAAAAATATATATGTTTTGCCTGGTTAGTGGAAAACAAATGGACCCCAAAAAAGCAACAACAAAAAAGGAACTAATTCTGATTCTGGGGAAGTTTTGAAGACCAGCACAATTCCATGCGAAAAAAAGGGGCGGCGTTTTGGTTGGTTGATTGAATTAAGACAGCCCCAAGAAAGGACGAAACATCCTGAACATGCTGGGGGTCCAAAGCCTGATTTCTGAAACAACACATTAGCAGAAAAGTCCTTAGTTCAAGGCTCAGTACCATTTGTTTTTGTTTCTTTCCACACTCAAGAAAACTGATCATGTTGGGGTTCGATGCCCACAATAAGACACGCCCATGTCCAAGCGAATATCAAAGCGACTCCTGGTCATTTCCAAAACATGCCGATTGATTACAGGCACTAAAAAGCGAAATGCGAACCCTGTGAGGGGCCTGTGAGTTGTGAGTACATTGATGGGCCCATGAGGGGTGGCACTCGGAGGACATCTTGCAGGCATTTCTTTCGCCAGTGTCTGTTCGCTTGGCAGAATCGCTTAGCATTGGGCAAAGTTTGCAATTTTCAAAACGAAGCATTCCAGATTTGCATCTGGCTTCTCAAGCAATGAGTTGGCGCGTCACAAGACTCTCGAAATCCAGCAAATGTCTGCTTGAGAAACCAAACTTGGACCCCTAAGGATCGGAAAAGCAAATCGATCGTAGATCTCCCACACAGGGTAGCTCCACGGGGTGCAACTGGGGAGAAGTCATGACAGAAACAAACATAAACAAGCGCGTGCCAATATGACATGCCCGCAAGCGCGCACACGCACACACAAAGAGACACAGAGACTGGGTGATTCAAAAACAGAACAATGCTTGTTTGAGAGGTTCCTTCGATCCATTGCTCATAGTGTTTCCTGTTGTGAGCAAACAAAAAAGGTTGGGTCCAAAAAAACCCAAAGCGGGTTTACCCTGTGAGGGCCGAACCACAACCAAACTTCCAAGCTTCAGGGAGTTTGGTCCCTGAATTCCAGAAACCTAACTTGGAGATCTGCGTTTGAAATCCCCCCTCTTCAAGCGGGATCAAGGGACCACACGGCCCGAGGAATGTGAATCACTCCTCGGACATGTCCAGCACTGCAGCACTGAAGACGGTGGAATCCTGGAAGACATACTTCACCTGGCTTGCCATGGGTCATGATCCGGGATTTGCTTTTTCAGACCTGCAGGGACCCTGACAAAAACCATCCGGATGGTGGAACCTGCCAGGAAAAAGGTGAGCCACGACCCATCTGCAACAAGTCCCGTACAGAAAAAAGGTGAGCCAATGACATGATTTTAGATTTTACCCCAAAAGGGGCTGATGTACCTCATCCTCGCCCCTCTTTTCCGCACATGACTGCGAGAATTGATCCTCCCACCACAGCTTCCCCCCAACTAAACGTATATCCTGCGTTCAATAGTACCACAAGAGATCGAAGTCTTACCCATTTCTAATCGCACATCTTAGGCAACAATGGCTTCTCAGAGACAGAGTTACATCCATCCGTCCATCTCGAAGGGATGTGGAGCCTCATCGCGCAGGAATAAAAGTTCTACTTCTTTGTTTCTGTGCTTTGGACATCACCTGGAGCTTCAAGAAACACTCCCAGCGCAAATATTGACATGGAAGCACGCGAGTCGGTAGCCATGGGAGAGAAGCAAAATGAGGGAAGCATCGTCTGAATTGAGTCGGTGCCCATTTCATCCCCACCCCTGGCACAAAAAACAAGGCGCAGAGGCTCAGGCCTCGCGGAGAAAAAACAAAAACGGGGCTCGTGCAAGCTCGTGGTCAGGCAACTTGGCGTCACCAAACCCTCACATCATCCCTTGTCCTGCTTGCCCCCTGCAAAAAATGAATGGAACCAAAAAGCAAACATAACCTGCCAAGAACAGTGAAGACACCCCAAAATCGATCTCTCCAAAATCCAGGTTCGGGGGGGGGAGGGGGGGGGAGAGGAGGGGGAGGGGCCCGTGGGGCATCCGAGCATCACGCCTCCATCTTGTACTCAAAGGGCTTGATACCCAGCTTGCCCAGCAGCACGGCGCCGCTCGCGGTGACCCGCTCGCCGTTGGTCAGGATCTTGAAGTCCTTGGCTCGTGATTGACTCGACCTCCAAAAGCAAACAGCTCGGTCCTCCAGTAGAGAGGCTCGAATAAGGGTACCCGATTGTTTTCTTCTGTAGTCTATTTTAGTAGGGGAACCCTCCCCCCAAAAAAGGGAAAGGGGCACTACTGGCAGACCTAGACAGGCAGGGAAACCAAACTTCTGCCCGACGGCCTATGGCTGGGAGGGGTTTATCAGAGGCCTCTCCCTAAATTTCCCTTCAAAGCAGATGGACAACAGAAGATCTCAGGCTTTGAAGGGTTCCCAGGTGCCCATGTCGTGGGGTCTTCGTCTCCAAATCCCAGGGGCAGAGACCAGCTCGATCTGGCCCTTCACAATCTTCGTGCCGATGTTCAAGGCCTGCAATGGCTCAGTTCTAAGCTTTCTGGCCCTTTGGAAGCTCCATTGAAAACGCTGGGCTTCCCTGGGGGGTGATGTGTCAAAGGGGAAATATGGGGGAACCCCTGGCCTGCACTCTGTCCGAAAGGCACACAGAAGTCTCGCGGCGCGACAGTCTTTGCCACGCCTGGAAGAAGGAGGTCTGAGAAGGGTCCATGCCGGTGGGGCCCGAGGGGATGAACCAGTCCACGATCGAGGTCCTCAGATTGCTTGCCCATACATGACAAGGCTTGTGAAGGGCATGCAAAGGAATGAAGCGTGCATCCGGATCAAGACTTAGCCTCCCAAACATAACACCTGACTGGGTCCTGATTTCAAACATTTTCATCAAGCCACACTCTGGTGGATTTCCATGCCGTAGGGGTTTCTCTTGACTCTTGGTCCTAGACCCCCGGGAAAAGGTCCTCTGTTTTTCAGTACTTGAGTGTGTCTTGTTTTGGGGGGCCCACTAAAATGGTGGTTGCCCTGTTGGTTTCCCTTTAAAACCACGAAAAAGAGGTACCCAAGCACACACACACACAGTGTTTTAAACTGGACAAGGGCACCACAGGAGGTCTGGGTTGTGCATGACCCAGCGCCCTGAGGTGATTTTTGCCCGGTTGATCCTGGCCCACTGTTGCGTGTTAAACGTCGAGCCAGCTTCACACCAAATGCCAGGGCGCTGGCCTGCCTTAGCGCCGGACTCCCTCTTGAACTGGCTCAGCACCTCTCGGATGTCGTCCAAGGAGCAGTTCCTCAGGCAAGCAGAGAAAGGGAGTTGCTTTGGGGGTGGTTGTGGACCTCGGTGCCCCCATCATCCGGTGGTCTCCAATTTGGCTTCTGCTTGAAACCATCAGCTCCTTGAAATCAGAAGGGCCAGCTTTTCGGCACAAGAGTGGTGCAGCACTGTGGTGGCTCCAGCTTGAAAATCACCCATCTTTTCTGTATGCCTTTCGCTGAGCTTTCGTGGAGCCCGAAAAGAAGAAAAACATCGACTTGTTCGTCTCTGACAGAATCTCCCCACGCATCAAGTTCAACTCGGGAGTGACTCAGGTGAAGACCACTACCTGCATACTGAGTGCCGGGGGCAAACAACTCTTCCCTCCAAACCGATTGGGAACTAGCACCAATTCTTCCCAATGACTTCTTCACTCAACAGGCGAGGAACATGGAACCCGAAAGGGGCCCTGGAGGACTGTTCCAACAGCTAGTTTGTCTGGCTGGGGCGAATGGTCACACCCCCGCTCGTTTGCTCCTCCCTTAAACCCCGCCGCTTGCAAGTACTCCATTCCCAAAACGGGCAAACTGGTGATGTCCTTGGTCAGGCCTGTGGCAGCGTCCGCAACTTTTTTGCGAGCGCGCTACCACACCAAGCCAAGCACATCCTGCCAGAGGTCCTGCCAGGGCCACGTGATTAACCTTTGGTACTGTTGACCGCAGATTAATCCACCCCAGTTTATTCACAGGGGCGTGTCTCTGGGTGTTGTGGGGAATCGTCACCGTTGGAGGGAAACACCCCCTACTGAGAGGACGGGTTTATTCATCCGGGGTCAACATGTTCAACATGGTTGTAAGGGTCTTGGCCTGGCAATAAGCTGCAAGAAGCCAAGTAGGACCCAAACCTTCCGGGCGGGTCAAGACCTGTCCAAGAAAGGGATGCTTACCCCGAAGAACCAGGGTCCCCTTTGAAAAGCAATCGAGACCAACACGTTTCCTTGGACCACATCTGGACACAGAAAAAGATATACGTTCACATTCTGGTCCATATTTAGTCAGCCAACTATCAACCTGCTGGTGCTCAGCAGGAAATGAGGGAATACACCCAAGCTTCGGTCCCCTTTTCTGGAAACCACACGTTGGACTGTCTTTCTTTTTCCCGGGGTTGTTTCCATTTCTCCTTCCCCGCATCTCTCGCACAAAGGAAGAAGAAAACCGCTCTGGGACGTGAGACCAACACGTCTTCGGCCTCCATCTTCGCTTCAAACGGATCCCGCCTGGGTCTTCTCCCACAGCTTGCTGGACGCTGCCTTCAGCCGGCCCAGGGCGCTGGCGCGCCTCTGGCGCTCCGCGGCCTCCGCGGCGCCTCCGGGGCTTCCGTGGAGCTTCCAAACTAGGAACCGTTCACTCAGAATCATCGTCTAGGTCCTCCAGATTTGAGAGGTTAGAGGTTAGGGTACCCGTTTTTCTTTTTCTCTTTTTTTCTGTAGTCTATTTTGGTGGAAACCCTCCCAACCAAAAAAGGGTAGAGAAGGGCACTACTGGGGGACCTAGTCGATTTCTTGTCGTTTTCCCCTCAAACATACCCAAAAATGTGGAGCTGCACTCGTTTTTTTTTTGCCCTGGGCTTGTCTCAAAATAAGGGACCTCCACATTGGTTTGGAGCCCGGCGATTTGGTGGTTGCCCGCTACAAGAACCGATTCGGGCTTCAAATCCGAAT